CCACAGGTCCATTCCTGAATGATGCCAAACGAAAAGGAATTCATTACACCGTTGTTCAACATCCTGGGCTCCCGCGATTCGTACATGGCGATGAACGGCGTATCCGCCAAGCACTCTCAAATGTCACTGCGAATGCGGTGGCCCATACGCACAGTGGCCACGTCAAGGTGGAAGTCTTTGTGTCAGAAGTCAAAGATCGGCAGGCAGTGGTGGATTTTGTCATTGAGGACTCTGGTATTGGCATGAGTGCCGCCCAATTGGATACATTGTTCCGTGACCTCGAACAGGTCAGCTCGGAGGACGCGCCTATGCCGGGCAAGAAGCTGGAGGAGATGCCTCGCGAAATGCGAACATTAGGACTCGGCCTTGCTGTTGTTGCCCGCATTGTTCGAAACATGGATGGACAGCTTCGCCTAAAGTCGGAGGTTGGCCAAGGCTCAAGATTCGTGGTTCAACTTCCATTCCTCCTTTCCAACGAGTGCCCAAGCTCACAAGGAGACGGAGACGCCCCTACGGGTGGCCCAACAAACAAGTCTATGAACAGTGCAGATTCCGCCAACACTGCAACATCTGCCCCACTTTCTCTGACAGCTGCTCGAGAGGGGGAGATTACACTCGTTGACAGGGTTAGCTCCATGAATTCTGCTGTCGAAAGGGGCGACTCATCAATGAAACAAGGAAGCCGAGCAAGCCAACGAAGTATGAGTAGCCGTGGCAGCCATGGTAGCCAACAAAGTGACGCCGATCGACTTATTGATGCGATCTCAACGCCGCTGTCTCTGAACGACAAGGAAAGCAATGAATACCCTCTTCATGGTAGTGTGCATCCAGGAGGAAGCTCCATGCGGCCCACGTCCAGCGGAGCCGTCAGCCTCAGTGGCCGATCTGTGAGCCCTCCCCGAAGCCCTGTGGCAACCAAACCACATAGCGAACCCGGAAGCGCAGCGGTGGTGGATTCAAAAACTCTGATACGTGCTGTCAAGATTCCCGACGAGTACAACGATGTGCCCCAAAAACCACAGCCCAGCGAGCATTCTCGTGTTCTTTTTGAGATAAAAGGAAACGATCGCCCCGCAACAAAGGCCGCCACAGAGAGCGTCACAAGTGGAGGAACTCAGATGACTGAGCAACAACATCTGGAGGTCCTTGTGGCCGAAGACGACCCAATCAACATGAAGATCTTGAGGAAGCGTTTGGAGCGAGTCGGCCATGGCGTGCATCATACTGTAAACGGTGAAGACTGTGCCGCAGCGTATCGCGAAAGATCAAAGGAGTTTGACGTGGTCTTAATGGATATGCAAGTAAGTCATTCTAAATCAACTTAAATAAATACGTTACTAACATGAATAAGATGCCAATTGTTGATGGACTCACAAGCACAAAAATGATCAGGTCACTGGAGGCATCCGCGGAGCATCAAGGCCATTCTTCGTTGGCCAGTTCAAATTATCGTATCCCGGTTTTCGCGGTTTCGGCTTCTCTCGTTGAGCGCGAGAAGCAGACCTACGTCGATGCCGGCTTTGATGGCTGGATACTCAAGCCGATCGATTTCAAACGCCTCAACACTTTGCTTGCCGGTATTTCTGATGAGGAGGTCCGCAAGGCTTGCCTATACGAACCAGGTCAGTGGGAACGTGGAGGTTGGTTTCTTCCAAGGGCCAGTCTTGGTGGTTCAGTAACTAGCGACGAGACGACACCCAAGGCCGAACACGATGCCAAAGATAAAGATATAGGCAACACAGTAGCTGCTGAAGAGGCTAAGGCGGAGGGCGGTGCTGTGGAACCTACGCCCAGTACTTAAAACGCCAGCACTATTGCACCAGCAAACATGCCATTGGCCAACATCAGCTCAAGGTTGATGTAGAGCATCCCCCATCTCTCTGGGATTATATATACCGGTGTCTCTCGAAAGGACGGGCAGTTTTTCTCGAGCCTTCGACGTCTTCGATATTCACACCCTCAGCTGCCCCTCAACTGTGGCTGCCAGTTTCGTTTTATTTTATTTTTCCTATTTCATTCTCGCTTTTCTTTTTTGCTTTAATGGTTTTTAGCCCACGGGATACACGCACTGTACACGATAGATATGATGGGAATGGAAATGGCAACAGGGCGTTCGGAGCTATCAGGCGTTGAAGTACGCTTCACCATCGCAATGCGGTTTGATGTCGCAGGCTATCCTTTCCATGCAAGCAGAAAAGTTCTTGTACGGCGTGGACACTCATAATCGCTGACGGTCTATCAATTTGTTTTTATTTTTACTTTGTTCTTCCCTTTTGTTAGCATAGAACGGACGAGAGACGAGGACCATGATGTATACGATAACATGGGTTCAAGGACGGGGTGTTTGGTGATAGGAAAGGTTTTTGTTTTTGTTACTTGTTTCTTGATCGATCTCTGCTTCTGCTCTACAAAAACAAGAGCATCGAGCGAACTCATGGCGAGGAGGGAATTTCCAGCATGGCTGTCCTGCGAGGGTCACGGCCGCATGAGGGAGGGAGTACAACACGACGCCACAGGTCTGGCGATTTGGTAGTGGTTGGAGGAGGAAAAGGGCGAAAGGCATCAGGAGTAGCAGCATGTATATGTCTATCCATAGAATTCATGCTTAATGCCTATGAAGGAAAAACACATCATAAGTTGAGCAATTTGGATAGGCGAGTGATGATCACATATCCCCTGAGATCTAAACAAGTAATAACGTGTTAAGCTTAAGCACACATGCCATCATTGAGTTCTGCAAGTCACGTATTGATTGGTTCCTGAGCTGTCGTGAATGTGCATTTGATGTGTATTTTCCATAGCCTACCTATCAAACGTTCAACGCCGTCTATGCATTAATCCTGCAAAGCAAAAGCCCAATGGCACCCTTCCTCCCACTCCGTGACACCATCATGGTTAGCCCTTCCTAATGCGTCTCCAGTATGTCTACGCCTTGTTTCCATGACTCAGTCATTAGGCATTCTTGCCAAATATCCAGGTAGTCTGATGTCGAAACGTTCCCTTTAAACAGATCGGAATCTTTCATTAACAGTCCTAACATCTACCGGGGCTGGAGTCGCGAAGGGATATATATGAGACCAGCCGCATGCGCCCATCACTCTACAACTCGGATTCGGCTCCATTAGTGGACAGAGCCATGGGGCTACCATTGTTGTTCTGTCTCTGGCGAAGGCGAGCGTTTCCAGGAGGGCGTCGACGAACCATAACTCTGCCATTCATGCCAGCTTGGCCGCTGTTCTCGTCGTCATCCTCCGAGTCAGGGTTCTGTTCTGCATAGAGGCGGGCTTCGTCAAGCTCGTTGATATCTGTGGGGCGTTCACGGAGCCACTGCATCCTGGGGCCAGATCGGGCTCTCTCAGAAACACGGAAACCATAAATGCGAGGCTCGTATATACGCTCACGGCCTAGACCAGGGCCAATATTCTTTGCGTACATGCCGTTGATGAGGCCATCGCCTTCGTTAACGCGGGAGCTCGTGGATGAGAGCACTTCGATGCCACGCTTAGTAAGGTCATATTCTGGGAAAGTAAGGAGAAAGAGAGAGCCGAAAGTACGACCAAAGAAGGCGCCGTCAACGGTCTGAAAACGGCTGTTGGGCGGGACGTAAACGTCTAAACATGATGGGCAGAAGAGCTTGACCGTGTCCTCGCCAGGGATATCGGAGAGACCAACAGGCAGAGTGCGGGCTTGGTCACAGTTTGTCCTCGGACAGCAGCCAAAATGGCCTAGTTCGTATTTTTCACTCATCTGCTGGATGCCGGCCCTGGAGCAGATAAAGCGTTGATGGATGAGGCCGTACAGCATTTCGGCAGAGGATTCAATGACGGACAAGTCGCTGGCCATGCGGTGATGCCTCCGCTCGCTGGCTGCTTTAGTCAAGCGTTCTGGGTCTGACTCGTTTTCGTCCTCTTCCTCCTCCTCTTCTTCCTCCTCTTCGTCGTCCTCTGGTTCCACATCCAGGATCATCTGTGAGACAGGGGTACAACGTTAGCAATTCTGGGTCTTTGAGAGAGAAAAACTGCAAACGTCGACGCGCCCGCGAGACAAGATAAACATACCTCCAATGCTTCCTTGTACATGGCAACCTGGGACTGCAGACCAGTCAGGTTGAAGTCATCCTCGATAAACTCCTCCGAGACTTCGGCAAAGTATTCATGGCCGAGCAGGGAACAGAAACTGGATATCCAGGACTCGGGGACACCCGAAGAGGTCGACATGGTGTCGCTATCGTGGTCGTCTCTCTCGTTGTCGAGGGGCAACGGATGCCAGTTGACGAGGCTGGGCCAAGGGATTGCGCTCGGTAGTGGCGTAGTATAGAATGAATCGCAATGGAGAGGCGAGAAAAATGCGAGGTATTGCGAGGGCGTTAATATGCTGTGCTGAAGGTCGCGGTATGGATAGGATAGCTGTAAAGCTACCTCGAGGCGGGGTGATGGATGGTGGTGAGTATTTTGAGGGGCGCAGATATCGCGAGCCACGGGCACACAGCACTACACCTAGCCTAACCTGACCTAACCTACAGTGGAGGGCACGCACGCGCTACGCTAAAGTCGATCGGTGTTGGTAGTGGAGGTTTGTATGTCCCCGGTATGTAATTCACCAAAAACAACAGCAGTGGTATGGAACATCAGCGCATTGCGATAATATGCAATAAAGAGTGTCCGTTATAATAAACTAAAATTGTATAAATGAAGAGCAATTTCCTCTTTCGTCGATTGCGCCAGGATTCAGAGTTTTTGGTACAACAGAAATATACAAAGATAAATCTTGGTTTCCACTTCTATCTCGCAGTACCTGCTTCGGGACAGGGTTTTGCCGGTTCCGATGCATAGATCTCGCCTTTCATATTCAAGACGGTGGTAAAAGTGTGACCCAACCCATTAAATGAATGCAGGACATAACGTCGATCTATTCTCAAATGGAACTACAAGAAATACCATGACAATCTCTTCTCACTACTCATTTTATGAAAATCTATTTCGATCGAAAATAGGGAAATCATGAGCAAAGTTTTATCCACCTTCTCACCCTGGAGTCGGCATATATCAAAGACGGTTCCTTCATGCCGTTATTTCAGTGAGACAATATCACCAAGAAAGGGAATACCGAGACTGGTAGCAGTAGCCGAGGAATACACTACCACTGAAGCATTCCGCTCACGATCATTCGAACTCGAGAAGCCAGTCGTCTTTGGTAAAGACCAGGGTTCACCGGCTGCTAATCTGCCTGCGTTGGAAAACTGGTTTATAGACGAGGAAGACCCATACTACACAACCTACACAGACACCCCACGGCAGCCTTTGTCATGGCACTTCCGGCGCTTTCGCAATCCCGTGGTCACTTATGAGATATACGCTCCATCTCAGAAGCAAAAAGACAGCCTTGTGATGTTTCGAGATTCTCTTGACAGAGATATCCATGATGATGCCATTGTGAGGAGTTGGGACAACTGTTTCAATCAGGAGGCTGTGGTTGACGGTGTCCTCGACGATACAGTCAACAATACAGCCAACAGGGATTTCTATCGATTCACTGCACCTCTCCGTCTTTTCAATAAGATATACCACTTCAACAGAGTTTTGCTGAGCATGGGGCTTCCCAGAATATCAGTCTACATTGCTCAGTGCCCTATAGGGGATCTCCCCAAGACCCTCCAGGACGACCTTCCCACTCCAGACATTATCAAGTTTGTTGGGAAGGGAGATGTGTATGACTCTAGCATATGGCTCGGCATAGTCCCGACATACACACCTCTACACCGAGATCCAAACCCCAACTTCTTCTGCCAGCTGTCCGGGAACAAGGTTCTCAGGCTCATGCTACCAAAGTCAGGAGACGCACTCTTCAACGAAATTCAAGCTGAAATGGAAAAGACAGACAATGGTCGTTTACGAACGGAGGACATGATGCACGGCGAGGAGCGGGAAAAGCTGCATGCTGCTATTTGGGACGACAATAAAGCGCCAGCGGGGGTTTTCGAGGTTGTGCTAGAGCCTGGCGATTCCATGTTCATCCCTGCACACTATTGGCATTCTGTTAAGAGTGTGGGATGGGATGGAGAAGTGAACTGCTCAGTCAACTGGTGGTTTCGATGAAGCAACCACAGATATTGCGGTGTCGCAAACTTCTTGTACATCATCAATGTTAGACTATGTAACATCAGTTTTTACGAACAGGTCTACAGATGACCCAATTGACATATCCGCAAGGCCAGAGGTGCATCTCACTGCCACTCTTGACCTCCCATTTGCTCGTGTCTGCACCACAAGACCGCAACAAAGCCTCAACTTCCTCGGGTGTTCTTGTTCGCAGCGCTGAAATGTACCCGTCAAACATGAGAACGAACGGTAGAATAGGGATCAAGCACGAGAAGATAAATGTTGCAGGTGATCGCCACTTGAGCGCGAAGAATGGAGCACTGAAGAATGCACCAATGCCTAAGAACGTAACCGCCAACACGCTCGCAAAAGAACGATCTTGTAACTCGAAGATGGCAAGACCCTCGCTTGTCTCAACAGTATCACGCAGAATAGCCTTGGCCAAGTCGTCGTCGAAATGGTGAAACGCCAGATTAAATAGTCTGAAAGGCTTCGTTCCATCTTCCCTCTTGACAAGATACTTCGGGGCAGACGTCGCATCGATAGAGTTGCGTTCGTACGTCAACAGCGGGTTCTTCTGGGCAACCTGTTCCCAGGCTTCAACATTTGGGTGCAAGTCCGTGAGGATAAAGCGAACAGGATCCGATCCTCGAGACTGAAGGTGCGCATTGACGGTACGAGCTATCGACGGCGTAGGGCCACCACCACCGGCACAGAAATCAATATAGGTATAATCGGGTAGAGTCGTGTTGAGCTGCTTGATCAAAACTTGGGCGCTGAGACTTGCGGGAGATTGGGACTGGAGAGGCGTGTTGGAGAGCCAGGCGCGGGTAAGGCCATCTTGGACGCGAGCACGAAGAAAGGCGGGAAACCTGATACTATGTTAGTACGATTGACGTTGGTATAGCGACTGCGTTTCGGTCGAGTATCGTGAAGCTTTCTGTTCCGGGCTCAGTTGGTTGAAGCTCCAGAGTAGAGCTTAGATATTGGGGTTGACGAAGCTGGTGGAGCTTGGTGCTGAAGTACGTACCAAGTCTGATCATCAATCTCAAAGAGATGGAACCGAGGGACAAGAGGAGCCATTTCCTATGATGAAGAGCTCTATTTTCTGCCCAATTGAATGATTTTCTTGTTGTTACGTAGAAGTTGATGCTGGAGTTGTCAGTCTTTGATTAATAAGATGTGAAACTCGGCCTCGGTAAAGGTGTTACCTTTCTGTGTCAAATAATGTCGTCACCATAGGGTAAGGTATTCGCAAAGCATAAATATTTGTGGGTTATGGTCAACATGAGTCAATGGCTTATATATATATATGAACAATAAATACTAAGAGGAGTTGGTAAAATCAAATTCTAGAAACGCTCACTGTTTCTCGTTGTGTCATCGTGTTTCGTCGTCAACTTCTAAACACTTCCGTTTAACTTGGTACGCGCGGACAAATAGTCTACATTATTACTTGAGCTGATTTATGTCAACGTATCATTCATATACAAGTGATGATAATTGCTCAGAATAGAGATGATCATAATTCATCGAGTTTAATCTTTTCGATGCCCTTGTAGTAAGTGAATTATTGATATCACGATGGAATATCACACAGCATGCACAAGTAGAGGTTGTCCCCAGGCAAATTATACGCATTTGTCACATTTTTTCAGAAATTATTAACTACTTCGTCGGTGCGTCAGTATAAGGATCGAATCCCATGCGACGCTTTGCCTCGCTCCGAGCCCTCCATTGCGTTTCGCCAATCAACCCCGTGGTCGACGTCTCTTCTAGGAAGAAAGTGAGGATGTGGTCGGGAATAGACAGATGAGATGTCTGCTGAAACTCCTGGAGACTAGCCAGTCGTATCAACATCTCCATTAGAGATAAAGACGTCGTGATTGCTCCGAATGGCGATCGAGCGACAAAGTTCTCTGTCTCGGCTGCTGTGACTGATTGCAGGGAGCCCAGCTTGTCAGGACTGTTCAAAGATAGTCTCTTGATTTGATCGACAACATTTGAGTCTAGAGATCTCCTGTCACGAGGCGTCCCAGGCTTTGATGTCATGCAGTTTGGCAGTTCGAGCCTCGCTGAATCCACGGATTCGGTATCGTCGTCTTCCCCAACATCATCATCGTCATCTTCTTCGTACACCTCGAGGGCCATCCACTCTGGATCAAGATGTGACGGGAATTTCCACTTGAAGAAATGCTCGCTCATCGGCACGACATTGCGGTCTTCCAGCACCGGACGGCCAAGTCCCTCCAGAAGTTGCCTGTCTATTTCGGCTTGGTCATCGTCATCGTCACTGGTCGAATCCGATGTCTCGCTTTTGTCATCGTCCTCAAGTCCTTCGAGAAACCCAGCAATATCATCAGTTTCCTGTTGGGCCGGCAGAGCTTGAGTATCTCGTTTCAAAAGCAAGACTGGTCTTTGCTCACTGTCAGTGGCGGAACCAATGTTCAGAATCCTGCCTGTATCCGTGTAAAATATCTTGGATAACTGATGCACAGGAATGGATTCGCGAATGCCTGCTCGAGGGATATCGTCATATGGCTGAATATTATGTTCGTCATCGTGGAGACGACCATCGTCAAGGTCTTCGATGACCTCCAGGTGGTACGCATACTCTCCCCCACCGGTCGCTTCAGGGGCTGGAAGAGGAAAATCGTGGTCTTTAAGTGGCTTCGAACAGTAACCTCGCTTACTGTCAAAGTAGTAGTCCTTGCGAGTTCTGCAGATGCGAACTCGCGCCTTGTGTAATACTTCCTGCCACAGTGGCTTCCGCTCCCCTTCCCCTAACCCGTAACCAGCCCTGATGCTTGAGGTTTCTGAACAGTGGCCATTCGTAGAGATCGTGGTGTCTGCAACTTGGGAGGCGCTGTGTGGCATCAGGGTGGATGCATGTCCGAGAAAGAGCATGTAGAGAGATAGAGTAAAGACTGGGCCAATTTGGACTGGTCTCGTTGGATCTTGTGCGAATTGTGTGTCGCCAACGGTGAGTAGTGTGCTAGCCTGCAGCAGTCTAGATGGTGATATACCAGCAGGTAGTGATGTGGAAAGGCTCTCTCCAGACGCAGTAATAGCCAACTGCAAAAGCGGGATCTCACGATCGATTCGGTCCAGCAGACCCTTTATGGCGGTGATGATAGCCAGCAGGTTATCGTGGCTGGCAGATGGTGAACGTGTCTGGGCATTGTTACTACTTGAGTTTGAACAGATAGTAGTTGCTGACTCTATGCGACGCCCCAGCGAGACAATGTCCTTATGCAATGATTTCGCAAGAGGAGTTGCTGATTCGAGAAATACATTTCCACGACCTGACCTAGTCGAAAGTGTTAGAATCGGACTAGGAGAAGTAGCTCGAACTAGTTGTGTAGTTGATGAGCGAATGGGGTGCTTACTTGAACTCGATCAAGTCTATGGCTGGTGAGATGATCTGCAATGGTGATAGGTTAGGTCTCAAGAACCAGGTACCCCAGAGTAATGAATATGCCTTATGACGCACCTTTATTTTGCTATCAAGCAAGTTTCTTAAGGATTTGAGTTCAGCATGGACAGCCTTGTCTTCAACTGACTTGAGTAATTTCGAACATTGGCCGACGGCGTATGATGAAGTTAAGGCGATACCGGAGCGAATGGCATATCTCATGGCTTGAACGCCAACTGTTGCGAGGAACTCATCCATGACCAGGACATTCGAGACTCGCCGTTATCAAATACTGTATCATGCTTAGAAGCACCGGTAGAAATGTTAATAGAAGAGAAAAGGTGAAGCTGCGGATTGAGAGAAAAGACAAACAAAAGATTGCACGTCCCCTTATGAGAGTTCCATGCCGCATTGGATTGGTGGTCGTAGCTCGTTAGCAGCGTTATTCACTGCACGTAATTGACCGCCAACGCATAGACGGTGTAGGCTTCGGGCACTTACACTGAGTATAGAGGGGCAACGTGTACAGTGTGAGAATTACAACCATGCCCCTCGTTGTATGGTACGTGCAGTCCTTGCTTGTGGCTGGTGTCGATACCCAGTCCGTCATTAGGCTTGAACTCGAATGATGAGATGAGTCAAAAGGCGAGTCATAAGGCTGAAGCGCATACAAACGCATTGTCCGAGACACTTGGAACAACAAACACCCGATTCTGCCTGTTCCGTCCCTTTTTTGATAGATGTACGTGTAAGTTGATGATCGCGCACAGTACCAGCCCACTAAACTACCCCTCTAAACTTTTTCCTTCAGGGCATGAGGTTTACTGTAAGAATCTCCAGGGCAGTTGGTGCGGCGTCATGATATCCATCCATAGCGGGGCAATAATTTTCACAGCCTAAACCTTGCCTGGCTCTTTGCCTCCCCCCACCAAGGAAAACACAAGGAAAGATATTCACAGAATCAATACAAGTTGTTAGGCTTCTTTGGTGCCTAAAACTCATCTTGTACTCGCCAAATTTGACGTCTCTACCGACTCAGGGGTTAGAATTTATTTATCCCCTTTCCCCAATTCTAAAAAGAATTTGGCATAATCTCATCACTTGATAAATCGAAAGAACAAGCCCCATTGTCCACAGACAGGTTGCTTGCATATCTAGGGCCTTTTTAAATCCGCAACCCAGACCGTAACAAGTGATCGCAAAACCCTCTGCTCTCCTCTACTTCCTCCCTCCTCCACCCCCCACTACGCGACACATTCCACCGCCGTTAAACACATCAAAATGGCGACACCTAACTCTTGGGAGGACGATCCCGCTGCTCAGGATGAGAACCTCGCCCAGCAGGCTCAGCAGCAGCTTAACATGAACAACCCCGCCCCCGCGCAAGGAGGCTTCCGACCTGGCATTGCCTCTTTCCAGCCCGGTGCTGCTTCATTCCAGCCCGGCCAAGCATATGGAGGATATGCACCTCAGTACCAGCAGCAGCAGCAACAGCAACAGCAATATTACCAGCAAGGCTACTACCCTCAGTACGGTGCTCAGCAGGGCTACAACCAATACAACCAGGGTTATGGTGGTTACAACAACCAAGGCTATGGTATGACACTTGCGCCAAAAAAAAATTTACAATTCGCCGAGATTCGTGACCATGACATACTAACACAAGCAACAGGTGGTGGCTATCCCCAGTATGGCCAACAACAGCAACAACAAGCTCAACAGCCCGCTGCTCCCACGATTGCTCAACGACCTGCCGCCGATGCTCCCGCTGCCGCTCCCAGTCAACCCGCTGCCGCTACCGCACCTAAGCCCAAGGTGATCAGCATCAGCGGCGATGCTTCCGGCCCCAAGCCCAAGACCAAGGTCCTCTCCATCTCAGGAACCGGCGCTGCTACCCCTGTCAAGCAGGAAGAACCCGCCAAGGCTGAGCCTACCGATAAGCCCGAGGCTGGTCAGAAGGCCGCAGCCGTAAAGGCCATCGAGAAGACAGGCGAAAAGGCCGGTAAGGCTGCCACAGCTAAGACCTCTGGTAAGACCTCACCAAGCCCTGGCTCTGGTCGCAACAGTCCCACCGCTGGTGAGAAGAAGGCCGCCGCTCGAGAGATTGATGCCGTCGAAAAGGAACAGGCCGCCGATGTCGACCAGGAGACTCTCAAGGAAATTTACGGCAAGGAGCACGTCAACATCATCTTCATGGGACACGTTGATGCCGGAAAGTCAACTCTTGGTGGTTCGATCTTGTATGCTACCGGTATGGTCGACGAGCGAACCATGGACAAGTACAAGAGGGAGGCCAAGGACTTGGGCCGCGAGTCTTGGTACCTGTCATGGGTCATGGATCTGAACAAGGAGGAGCGAACACAAGGAAAGACCATTGAGGTTGGCCGTGGTTTCTTCGAGACCGAGAAGCGTCGTTACAGTATCCTCGATGCCCCTGGCCACAAGATGTATGTCCCCAACATGATTGGAGGTGCTTCTCAGGCCGATGTTGGTATCCTGGTTATTTCCGCCCGAAAGGGCGAGTACGAGACTGGTTTCGAGAGAGGTGGACAGACCCGTGAGCACGCCATGCTGGCCAAGACACAGGGTGTCAACAAGCTCATCGTTGCCGTTAACAAGATGGACGACCCTACCGTTGAGTGGTCTCACGAGCGATACCAGGAGTGTACCACCAAGCTCGCTCAATTCCTCAAGGGCACTGGCTATAACCTCAAGACTGACGTTTACTTCCTACCTATCGCCGCTCAGCAGATGATGGGTATCAAGACCCGCATCCCCAAGGACGTCGCACCCTGGTGGGATGGTCCCGCGCTACTCGAGTATCTTGACAGCATGAAGGCTCTTGAACGCAAGGTCAATGCCCCTTTCATGTTGCCCATCAACGGCAAGTACCGCGATCTTGGTACAATGGTGGAAGGCAAGATTGAGGCTGGTGTTGTCAAGAAGGGTATGAACATGATCATGATGCCCAACAAGACTAGCGTAGAAGCTGCTGCCGTCTACGGCGAGCAGGAAGAGGAGGTCCAGCTAGCTCAGTGTGGTGATCAAGTGCGAATAAGGCTCAAGGGTATCGAGGAAGACGACATCTTGCCCGGATTCGTGCTTTGCTCACCAAAGAGACTGGTGCACACTGTCGCTGAATTTGAGGCCCAGATCCGCATCCTGGAGCTCAAGAGTATTCTGACTGCTGGCTTCAACTGCGTGCTGCACGTCCACTCTGCCATTGAGGAGGTGACATTCGCAGCCCTTCTGCACAAGCTTCAAAAGGGAACAAACCGCAAGAGCAAGAACCCCCCTACACACGCCAAGAAGGGCGACAGTATTATCGCCCGTATGCAAGTGATTGGCGGAGCAGGCGCTGTGTGCGTGGAGAAATTCGAGGACTATCCCCAGATGGGTCGCTTCACCTTGCGAGACCAGGTAGGCTTTACTCACCCCCAGCCCCTTTGACAGCCCCAACACACCCATTCCCCATCCTACTAACCCCATACTTTTGGTGTCTCTTCCCCAGATGGCCAAGAGGCCACTGCCGTTAGAGTGTGGCGGCAAGAGTCATAGGGAGTGCCTCAATATTCGGATATCAGATAGCTAACATGATATGCGCACAGGGACAAACCATTGCCATTGGCAAGATTACGAAGCTCATCTTTAATGATGCTTAAATGAATGATGACTGTTTTTGATCCGCGCGCGATCGCGATTATGTGAGACCAAACAGGACACGCCATGAGCAAAGAAATACAGGGAAAATGTAATGGGCATCCACCTAAATCATCTTCACGAATCATTACGGTTTCGACGGCTTGGCGCTGGGGAAGTTAGGGATTTACCAGGGACGCGGTGCCGGAATTGTCTAGGATGATGGGAAGGCCGCTTGTGTTGCCCGCCAGAGGGACATTGAAAATGACGACACGAAAGCAGAGACAGTAGGCGATATGATGGATGCCATACATTCTCTGTACTTCAGTGTATATAGACGAGCAAGTAAGAAAACAAAAAAGGAGGATGACGGCAATCATGATGCACTATTAGTCTTGCTCTTGTGCGGTAGGAATGGAGTGTTAACAGAGCAAATAGATCTTGGCTCTAAAACGTTCAAGATGAATGTTATGTTATCTCTTTGCCAAATGTTGGGAACAATGCTGGCTTCGACATCAACAGACGAAAGAATCAGGCCGACACAAGAGGGAAGAGAGCAGGAAACACAACATGCTGGCTTATAGCAGCCATTCATGGCGGTGAGAAAGAACATAGGATTGAAGGAACTGAAGTAAGATCATGATATTGAAACAGGAGAAGTAAAAGTGAAAGATGGACGAAAATAACAAACCGAGAAGTTATCGTCCACCTGACGTCTGAGTCGAGAGGCAGCCCATGATTAGAGGAAAGCTCAGAACCGGTGAATCATGTAAAGCACAGACTCGGCAAGGGAAGAGATTTCGCCGTCGTCTCTTTTGACACCCCGTAGAAATCTGCATGAAGTCACGATAATTGACAATCTAGGCCTTAGTCCACGATACGTAACCCCAGTCTCCTACTGCAAGATATAGCAGGGATCTCTACTTTGATGGACGGTCTCCGAGGTCAGTTAGTGTACCGAAACGGGACGGAGGCCAAAAGGAGGACATTTGCAGGGGCTTGATGGCGTTTGGTTGATGGGCTATCATGATTGAAGGGCAGGAGCAAGGAAGTTTGCTAGTGAGGTTTATGAGCACGAGGAAAAGTCGGGACGGTCCAAGGAAAGCGTTACAGAGCGCTGCATTGTCATTATTCCAGAATTGAGAAGCGGTGACCGAATGGAAATCCGAGATGAGTATGGGGAAGAATGATGCATATCCATATCCATGCAAGGAAGGGAACAGGTATATTGCGGATGCGGTTGCGGGTGCGGATCCCGGTACGGCGCTGGCTGGCTGGCAGCGGCCCAGCGGATCGGGAGTTGGGGGAGTGTCAGATGCGATAGGATACGGTAGAAAACTGTATGTTGTGTTGATGCATTCCAAGGTGAGTGAACCCCGGCAACACAACGGTCTCGTTACGGAAGTCTTTTCGGAAGGTTGCCGAGAGGCCGGAGGTGTACGGAACACCGTTGGGTTCTTGGTGGATCAGTTTTGGAGATACTGATCAATGCCAGGCCATACAGCGGTTCCTGATATTGCATTATCATGATCAAACCTGAAGCAATATGCAGTGCTCAGGATCAAGGGAGTCGAGAACTGCGCTGATGATTTATGGGGATTTGACGGTCGGGCGGAAGGGGATGTAAGTTTTACTGCAACAGACGCACAGCAGTGATCGACGCTACGTACTATATCAGTTTGTTATCTTAAAGATAACATGAAGTTGAGTGTGTAAGGACAGGGGCCTGCATCGCAAGCTTGATCAAGGTGAGCGAGAGTGGTGATGATAGTGGTTGACATCGCATACCGGAGGCATACGGAGGAGACGGAGCCGGGTGACGGAGCACGATAGTCAGGAAGTTAGCCGAAACATGGCAGGCAGGCGCCCGCAACAGGAGTCATAGTCGCACCGGGTGTGACATTATCCCTAAGTTGTGATGTCTTCTCTTGTGTGAAGAATGGTCCCCGCAACCCCATTTCCCCACGCAGTTCTTGAACCCCAGCTGCCCAGCCCCAAAAACGTAATTTAGATGGAGGCTCTGGGCGGAGAAACGGTCAGAAACGGGCACTCGGATAATGTCGGAATCCTCAGAGAGACGGTTTGAAAAGGTGAGAACTTTTAGAGGGGTGTGTCCCTTCAAGGTGAGTATGAGGCCAATCAGAGTAATCGATCGTAAAATTCGAGTCATGTGGGGAAAGGCAGGGAATGCAGGTTCAGGTCTGTACGTCACCCAGATCCCGGGAGAGGCTACCCACGGGAAGCTTTTTGCATTATCGTGACTTTCTGTTTTTTTGCCTGACGACTGATGCTGACGGGCGAGATGAGTTGCGGGGCGAAGTAGAAAAAGACCACAATCGAGTTCAAGGGTCACGAAGTCAGGCCCTGGGCTTCTAGTTTCAATAAATCGAAATTTTTTCAAGTCATGACTGATCTTGACTGGGTAACTGGAGTCATGTGCAGAGTCTGTTCTAAAAGTATCCCTAAACTGGTGTTGAAAAGCGCAAGGGAAGGACAAGCGAGAGTGTCAGAGAGTCTAGAAGCCTCCACATTGTTCAGCTCTGAACACCAACAATTCGTCTATTGCAGTACGTAAATGAGCAGCGCGCGCCATGTGGTGACGGAAATAGAGTCCCAGTTGAACGTCGTGCTAGTGTCAGGTACAAGACATAAAACTTCAAAAAAATTGAGAAGACGCAAACGATGATCGTGATCTAAGAATAGGCGTAAAGAGGAAGAAATTGATATTAATCTGTATTTAAGGTATCCTAGTCATGAATTATGTTGGTAGGTGACAGAAGAAACCTTCCTTCCCTTGCTGCAAAGCTTCAGTGCTGAGAAGGAAGGAAGCTAGATGTAAGTTGATGGTTCCCGTTGGCGCCTGCAGGAGATCATTCAAGTTCTGGGGGATAAGGGGAAGGTACAACTCCCTATTTTCTCCGCGGCCGGAATACCTGAGCCCAAACAATAACACCTGTCATTGGTGAATCGCGGGGTAAACCCAACCCCAGGGTTGGAAGAGATGAAGCAGCCACAAGGCACGAAGGAAGGAACAAATCTGCAACTGCATGTCGTCCAATCTGTCATTTACAACCCAATTCATTCTAATCCACACCGTCAATAAATAAGGCATGACTTTCATCCAATAGCTAACCCCACGTTCAGTTGCACGTAAGGTATCAACTATTAACCTAGTACCTGTCCATCTATCGCAACTCTTCATGGTTGAAGCACATGTCAACACCAGCAGCCGGAAGCTACACCAATTTTCCGTCTATTTGCAGCTTGACCTCAGGTACATGCAAAATGCTCTCCATTCTCGCCTGCGGAGCCGTAGCGTCAAACGTGATCCTTTTCTCTCCGTATCGTACCCACTCTCTCCTGTTTGTTCCTGTCTGGTGACCAACGAGTTTCAGCAGCATAGACATCGTATACCGACGGGCTTGAGGTGAGGCTCGGTGTTGTTGCTTTTTCCTGCTTACCTCCCGCCTCCCTCTTCTTCTCCGCAATCTGAATCTCAGCCCTAGCTCGCTCACGTCGAGTTATTCCCCTTTTGCTCCTTACCACTCTCCATTCCCAGAAGCAGCCTTGGCGAGCTTGTTTCCCCGTGTTCTGTTTTTGGTCTTTTCCTCAAATTTCATAGTCGTCTGACCTGTGTTGAAGAAACAAGCACCGGTCAGCGTAAGCATTACGATACGTAACTGCGTTGATTTTGATGCAGATTGGTTTCCCGTCTTTACAGTCTTGGCTTTTTCCACCAAGATAAAGTACTTGACAATGACCACCTACAGATTTACGACTGTCACCAATGAGGTGTAACATTCGCCTTCAATACATCCCCACATGTACAGTATGCACATCTTTCCATCGCCATCCACTACAAGCAGGCGGGCAAGCGAGTAAGGGAATACCATCATGTGTACTATCAAGAGACAAACCAGAACCAGCAGCCCCCTTGTCGAATTGGGCACACCCTCGCGATAAAGACCAACGAGGGTTGCAGGCCTCAGTGCTAGTCCCGAAACCTAAAGGAATTCAATGTCCGAATACCTCGTTAACTTGACCCCTCGAAGAGCTCATTGATAACTGTTCCCGTACTGTCCCGATGGCAGTGAGATGTGATGATAACTGCGACTCGGCCCTTGCTAGGAGTTACGAGGGGCACGGTAATATACGGTAGGTGGCCCGGACAACAGGATATGTTTAGGTATTCACGATAATACAGATAGGTAGGCATTTCAGTTACATATGGTTGTCAACATCGACAGCGAATCGTGTCAATACTTCTCAATGAAACAATAGTACTGTCTGCATTGCAAGCATGTGCGGATATGCATGCATGCATGCAAAACGGGTTCGAGAAAGTATTCAATGTGTAATTGAAATGCAGCCGAGTCTCTTTTCCCGGAATATCGCGGGCCTCGTGTCGCTGTGGTATTTTAGTTTGGGGCCCTGGGACCGGCGATCATGACGACACATTTGCTTAAAATGAATCACGAACAAAGACGATAGCTTCACGGTTCAAACAGGGAGGAAAAGAGCTGGGAAATTCTCATCAATTTAGCTGTTAAAACCTCAGAATTATAAGGCGGTTACAGCCAAGATCTGGGTAATTTGCAGTATGTAAGTTACTCAATCAGGCGGTTGCAGGCTCGTATATAAGAATATCTGTAGGGAAAATACAGTACTGTACCGTCATGGTCGTCATCACGGTTTCCTCCCTTTTATCCTTTTACCATCAACAACGTGACTATCAGCTGCTTGTTTGCTTCACCACCACCACCAGAAGGAAAAGAGATCAACCGTCTTGGACACACAGTAATCCTACCGTACCGTACCGTATCTTGCCGTCACAACAACGTCAATTCGATACGTCAAGGAGTAAAGGCGCTATCCGCACGGCATCATCCACATCGAGGGCAGCAGCTCCAAGGATTGGATCCATTCGTCCATTTGCTACCCAGTTGTTTTTGGCTGTTTCCCCCATTGTTGAACATCTCGACCACTGCTATCGTCGCTGTACCTACTTGTCTACGTCGTCTTCCGGCATCTTCCTGGACTTGGGCCTTAGTCTTTAGTCCTCCGCCAAAACCTTGACGCTTTCCTCATTGTTTGAAGAGTTTGGACCGGGGTTGGGTTACGTTTCGTGACCCCCTCCGTCCCGCAATATCCCATCCTTAGAGCTGGCGTCCAGATCGTGTCTTCGGGTATGGCCCCAAGTTCAAGCCCAGGCCAAGGCCCAGGTGTCCTATCCCGTCACCTTGTACCAAGAACAAGAAGTCTCTTCCGGTATAATTTCGTGTCCGTCACCTGCAACGCCTCGTCGGCTCCACTACGCGCTTGTCTCTGCCAGTCACAGCCTCACTCCCCATCCGTCCCCGTCCCTCTCCATCCTCGGGTCTGACCCCGGCAAGCGGACACTATCTGTCTTGTGGAGGAGCACACCGCGAACATCACACCCCAGGGCGTACAATACCAAATCTCGAGCTGCTCGTGAAGCTTTTATAAAAGCCATGAATGACCCCGTCAAAAGAAGAGCTTCTCTCTATTCAAATCAACTTCTCAAAGGTCCAAGCACACAGACCAAGGCTTCAGGAACCGGTTTATTCAAGAGTAAGTCTTGTCTTTGTCCCTCTATGATAGTTGAGCTGTCTTGTTATGATACCCTCACACGACCACTCCCCTCTGCCATTCTCGAAGTACCAAACAAAACGGCTACCGTTACACAAGTCTCAAGACCATTACTGACTTTATCGCAGTGCTTCCCAACAACGTTAACAAGACTTCCCTCCACCCTACCGGTGTTACGTACGTTCCCCATGATTCTTGATCAGTTACACAAGGACGGGTTCACTAACACGGGCTTCACAGTCCTCACCAGGAGCACACCGAGCTGGAGCAGGAGCTCCACGACAAGGCTCACATCGATTATGACCGTGTCGCCATTGTAAGAAGCTCTCCAGCCAACAGCGAAAATGAAATGTCACTGACCTGGCATTCCTCAGATCCCCAACCCTTCAGTCGCTGCCCTCTACGAGGATGCTCTTGTCTACGAGACCGGTACCGCTATCACCTCCAGCGGTGCCCTGACTGCCTACTCTGGTGCTAAGACTGGTCGATCCCCTCTTGACAAGCGAATTGTCGAGGAGGCTTCTTCCAAGGATAACATCTGGTACGTGACAACCCGAATAGCGGCAATAGAGTTCCGACTGTTGCGCACATGAATCGTCATGATCAGACAACTAACATGAAAACAATAGGTGGGGACCTGTCAACAAGCCCATGACTCCTGAGGTAAGAATTGAATCGGCATTTTCCTTGATACATCTCACACGATCGGGTCGATTGTCACTACTTGGCGTGGTATCTTGACTCTTGGTTTCCCTACCCTGGGAACACGAGAAAATTTGCCTGCATCACGAGCTTTACGCCCATAACCAAGACCAGAACCAAGACGAGCGAACCGAAACAAAACGTCTAGACCCGCGCCGGAGGAGCATCTCCATTCCAGCGACTTCAATTGGCTTTCCCCCGAGGATACCCGGAGCATGAGCGTCATGGCTTTAATGGCTTGTCCACTGGTGCTTATTCTCTTACCCAATTGCCTGGTCGCTGGTTGGTAGACGCTTGGCCGAGGAGTTCTCTAGTGGTTCATTGGCCTAGCGCTATTGGACCTGGTTCGCTTGTTCCCCTGGTCTTTCCGGGGAGGGTCTAGAGAAGTTGAGGGAGGGTGTCATGGGATCGGCATTCGCTAGACCTTGACCCCGCAAAGTCCTCACACGCTCACCTTCCCCTCTGGCAATTGCTCACGGCTTCAGACCGAGACACCAAGTCCCGTCCTCCGAAGCCTTCGGCCGTGACAAGCCCCTCTTTTCTCCCCGACCACGATTTTTCCCGACACGGCAGCCCCTTTACCGTTTTTGGGAAGGCTGCCGTTTGTCTCTTGTTCCCATTGATGATCTCATTGCACCGCTTCAGCTTAGAATTAATGGCTGACAATAATATCACTACAGGTCTGGAAGATCAACCGAGAACGTGCTGTCGACTACCTCAACACACGAAGCCGTATCTATGTCATCGATGGTTTCGCCGGCTGGGACGAGAAGTACCGCATCCGAGTCCGAGTTATCTGCGCCCGTGCCTACCATGCTCTCTTCATGCGAAACATGCTTATCCGACCTTCACGAGAGGAGCTCAAGGACTTCCACCCCGACTACACCATCTACAATGCCGGCAAGTTCCCCGCCAACCGATACACTGAGGGTATGACCTCTGGCACCTCCGTTGCCATCAACTTCGAGCAGAAGGAGATGGTCATCCTCGGTACCGAGTACGCTGGTGAGATGAAGAAGGGTGTTTTCACTGTTCTCTTCTACGAGATGCCTATCAAGCACAATGTCCTCACTCTCCACTCCTCCGCCAACGAGGGCAAGAACGGCGATGTCACACTCTTCTTCGGTCTCTCTGGAACTGGCAAGACCACTCTCTCTGCCGACCCCAACCGAGCTCTCATCGGTGACGACGAGCACTGCTGGTCCGACAACGGTGTCTTCAACATCGAGGGAGGTTGCTACGCTAAGACCATTGGCCTGTCCGCCGAGAAGGAGCCCGATATCTTTGGCGCTATCCGATATGGTTCCGTCCTCGAGAACGTTGTCTTCGACCCCCTTACCCGTGAGGTCGACTACGACGATGCCACCCTCACTGAGAACACCCGATGCGCCTACCCCATCGAGTATATCTCCAACGCCAAGATTCCTTGCCTGTCTCCCAACTCTCCCTCCAACATTATCCTCCTCACATGCGACGCCCGCGGTGTTCTGCCCCCCATCTCCAAGCTCGACCGCAACCAGACTATGTTCCACTTCATCTCTGGTTACACCTCCAAGATGGCCGGTACTGAGGACGGCGTCACTGAGCCCCAGGCTACCTTCTCCAGCTGCTTCGCTCAGCCCTTCCTTGCCCTGCACCCCATGAAGTACGCCAAGATGCTTGCCGACAAGATCGAGACTCACAAGGCCAACGCCTGGCTCCTCAACACCGGCTGGGTCGGTGCCGGTTTCGCCCAGGGTGGCAAGCGATGCCCTCTCAAGTACACTCGTGCCATTCTCGATGCCATCCACTCTGGCGATCTTGCCAACGTCGAGTATGAGAACTACGAGGTCTTCAACCTCCAGGTTCCCAAGACCTGCCCCAACGTTCCCTCAGAGCTTCTCAACCCCTCCAAGGCCTGGACCGCTGGCGAGGACAGCTTCAAGACCGAGGTTGTCAAGCTGGGCAAGCTCTTCCGCGAGAACTTCACCAAGTACGAGAGCGAGGCTACCGAGGACGTCGTCAAGGCTGGCCCCGTTGTCTAGAAGAGAGAGAGGGAGTCAAAAAGAACAAAAGGGAAAGCGATCTTTTTTTGCGATTGGTCATGACAAATTCGAGCAACTGTTTACCATTTGGGTCCGGCGTCATTACATGGCGGCCATCAACCGGCTGCCCTCTTCTTTTTTTGTCCAAGGGATTTCTTATATAGCATGAGATTGTGTGTAATGTGAGCATGAACAAAGCTTTACGATTTCTGCAATAGAAAAGCATTTGCTATTAATTTCCAACGTCTATCTTGCTTGTGACTTGACGATTTCACAGATGTTGATTGAACTTTGTGCTCCCCGTCGTGTCAAGTGACACTCAAAGCAAAACAATCCCACGTAAGCAAAGGGCATAGATCGAGTACAAAGGTACAATTCAGCGAAATTCTGCATATCTACCTAGGGGATCTCCTAGAACAATCAGATCCTTCGGCCGACCCTGTCGATAATGCTTCACCTTTTTCTTCCACGGCGACTCAAAGCCGTGCTCACCATGTCCCAAAATCTCATGTCCCATGGGGTCAACAACTTCATCAAGGCTTTCCCGGTTGTTCTTTGACGAATGATCAAAATTACCAAGCGGCAACGGGAGCAGCAGTGTCGGCGCCCCAAGTATCCCCACCACCAGTCTTACCACCATCACCACCGCCATCACCACCACCCCAAGTAACACCGCCAGCAGCATTGCCAGCATCGTTGCCAGCATCGCCTCCCCAGGCATCACCAGCGTCTCCAGCACCAGCGTAGTCGTTGGGATCAAAGTCTGAGTCGGCCTCAAACTTCAGGTTGTTCCGAGCATCACCCTCAGGAACGTACTGCTGCAAGAAATCAGGGATTTCCTGGTCGGTCTCGAGCAGTGTTCGGGTGAGGACACTGGCCATCGGCTCATCACGCTCCGAAAGGAAAGACGTGGCTACACCACGATGGCCGATGCGACCAGTTCGACCTAGCCATGTTAGTTAGGGAGTCCCAGGTAGAGGGGGATAATATCATACCAATTCGATGCGTGTACTCCTCGATGCCGCCGTAGTCGATAGATGGCATGTCGTAGTTGATGACATGCAGGACATTCTGCACGTCAATGCCACGGGCAGTCACTCCGGTAGCAATGAGAATCGGGGCATTTCCAGATCGGAAAGCCCGCATAGCCGCCTCTCGCTCCTGCTGGGTACGCTCACTGTGCATGGAGGTGACTGGCAAATGCATGTTGAAAAGGAAATCATCCAAGTTGTCAGCAGCCTGACGACTGTTGACGAAGATGATCGTGCGAATGCCATGCATCTCCTCGAGCAGCTTGACCAACAGTTCTTTCTTCTCATGGGCTTCAGCCTGAAGAACAATCTGCTTGATGTTGGCTGTAGTGCTTCCGGCACGGCCAACGCGGAATCGAACGTGAGAAGCGGCGAGATAGTTCTTGGCAAGGTCACGGGCGGCCTTGGGGAACGTGGCAGAGAAAAGGCTGAACTTGACGTTGCCCTCATCCTGTTCTGTTGAATAATTAGTTTCTGATCGTCCGCGTATGCATCGTGGTACTTACCACCACCGGACAAGATTGGGTTAAGCTCCTCGGACCAGTCATCATTGAGGAGTTCGTCAGCCTCATCAATCACTATGTAGCGAAGGCGTCGAAGGGTCAAGACTTTCGGGCGTTGGATAAAATCAACCAGGCGCCCAGGTGTTCCGATCAGGATATCGCATCCTTTCTGGAGTAGAAAGGTCTGCTCACGAACAGGAACACCCCCATAAACGACACAGGGGCGCAGCATGGTACGATAACAAAGCTTACGAGCCTCGTTGAAGATTTGGACTGCCAGCTCCCGAGTAGGGACCACGATGAGCACAAGAGGCTCAGCCACGACCTCGTCCATACCCTCGCGGAACGTTAAGGGGTTGGGACGATACGCAGCAAGCTTCTTGGCCTTGCCCATGAGCTTACTGAGAATTGGAATGAGGTACGCGGCGGTTTTGCCGGATCCTAAATGCAAGTTAGCGATGTTGGTAAGCACATCAAGGGTCACACGTACCAGTCTGCGCGATGCCAATGACATCGTGTCCCATCAATATAGATGGAATGGTGAACTTCTGGATGGGCGTAGGGTTCTCATAGCCACAAAGCTCGATGTTCTCTAGCATCGCAGGGTGGACGCCAGCATCCTTGAAGGAGCCGATGGGATCAATCTTGGTCGGCCCCTCCTGCTGGACCTCGATGCTATCAATTCTATAACAAGGTTAGGTGATACACAAGCTAGCAGTATGTATCAACTTACCGAGAAAAGTCGAGTCCAACTCGGTCGTGGCGAGTAGTGGGATTTCCAAACAATTCGAGCTCGAGCTCGGGAAACTTGGGACCGACATCACCATACTCATCCTGCCAGGCATAGGCACGAGCATTGCAACCCCACTCCTGACCACCACTCCCGGTAGCCATGGAAGTGTAGTCAATGGCCTGGGGCTCGGTCCATCGGCCTTGCGACGCATCGTATCCCTGAGTGCCGGGAGTTGGGGCTTGGTCGTTCTGACCAGCGGTAGGGAGCGCTTCGCTCATGGCAGCAGTACCGAAAGTGTCCGTCATGGTAGTGTTTCTGTGAGTAAATGGTTAGATGAATAGGTTCAAGGTGATGAAACTAGTGGCATAGGAGAAAAAGAAATTGAACCACTGACTTCGGAGTTGGAAAGTCTCGAAATGAGAGAGGTTGATTCAGATAGGCAGGCCGAGAAAAAAGATAAACAATGTGCTTTGAGAAGGAAGGTCAGCTAGATTTCTATACGAGTTGAGGAACCAAGCGCAATGCGAGGAACCGAGAAGAAAGTGTGAAAGGGAAAACAGGCGTGAGGAGACGAAAAGAGATAAACCAAAACACAATGGGAGATGGAGAGGTAAACAAGAGAAACATACCAGATAACGACTTCCTGACAAAACAACAGAGACTACAGCTCTTTGTAGCGCCACTGATGTTATAGTCGAAGAAGAAAAAGAAATATTTGACTCTTCTCAAGCGAGGGCGAGATGAGCAGACCGAAAGTGAAGTCGAGATGCGGATGTGAAGAGGAAAGGAAAGAAGAGAAGAAGAGAGGTTGAGGAGGAGGTATTTGTACTCCTGCCTGCACCGCCTGTGCGCGCTGTGATTCACGGGCTCCTCAGGAATAGGCAAGTGCTCGCAGAGAGGGAGGAGGAATTGCTTCTTGTTTGCAGCTTGAAGCAGGTGCCCGTGTCAATTTGCAGTAGCTCGCCGGCTGGCCGCCACTGCCAGTGCCACTCCCAGAAATCTACACAACAAAGGGGAACAGTAGATTGGAGACTTAAGCCCCTAGAAGTGGAAGTTTTCTGGCAAATGAATACGGAGAAGGGTTATTTTGTGAGTGTTCACTCGTGATGTTGAAGGGTTTGGAGTGGTTGAAATCTATAAGCTCTGAAGCCAAGTTGTAGATTGACGTTTGAGAATTGAGGAACAGTATTGATATCAGATGTTTACGCCTTATCACATTCATTTGTCATGTTGCAGCGTACCTGTGTTGTAGTTGTGGTTATGACTTTTCTTCTGCGTATTTGCCAATGCTAATAATTATTTATGCCTTTGCCATGAATATCATGCTGCTCCGATATCACATTGCCGCCGTGTGAAGGAAGCGCTGGTATGTAGTATGCTCTGGGGCTCCAGTAAACTACAAAGCTACAAGGTCAGACAATCATGTTTTTTATTTCCATACGATTGACACGTTTTCAACTCTGGAGGGACTTGATGGATTTGGGTCTAAACACTCAAACACCAAATCTTGCCCAAGCGGCCCAGCTATGGAGGAACCCGTTTGAACGTTCTCCTATTGGCCCAGCTGCGTTCAGTACATACAAGAGATTCAAACTTTTGCACTGTCGCACGTTACACTCAGCTCAATATACATCAAATCTCGTAGTGACTACACAAAAGTTGTCATTAACAACACACCGAGCTCAAACAAAGTGAGTGGCTCTTCTCACGTGACGAAACTAGTAGATATTATTATGAGGTCAGCTTAAACCTTTCACCAAAGGCTCAGAAGATCCTGGGTATCCATTGCCGTCGAGCTTTCATATTCGCCCATTCCATCTTGAAGAACTTTATCAAGGCCAGCTGCCGCTCGACCAGTAGCACCGCCCTCCTTTTTTGCTTGGTCTGTACCCTTCAGCACTGCCTCCAAAAATCTTCGTTCAAATACTCGTTGTCTGGCATCCCGACTAGGATACATTTCTCCCTCTTCGTCTCGCCGAGTACCATAAAGGTTGAGATATTCGAATGCATTGGAGTCTTGTGGGATTCGATACAAGTTGTCCCATATTTCTGACTCGTCCTCGGGAATCTCAGCTTCAAGCCGAAGACCAGCCTCCAGGAACCGTGATAGCGTGGCGATTTGTCGGGCATATGTCGAAGCATCCTTTGCGCGCAAACCAGATCTTGAACCAGAAGACCATCCGGCCTTTGAAGTTGTCAATGCCCACCCCATCATGGCACAGAAACTGTTCAGTGTCTTCACCCAACCACCAGGGCACACAATCAAGTCGTTCTCTGCAACATCCAAAATCCATTCCATTACACCAAGAGAGTCGTTGCTGATGTCTGCCGAGAGATGTGTCATACCTGCCCGGATAAACATGATGGCTTGTTCCACACTGTGTCTGACCTCTTCAGCGGGTAATTCTCTGAAAAGCTTAAGAAGTTGACTTCGAACTGGCGTCGAGCTATCAGAGATGAGTGGAAGCAGCTTGGCGAGAACCGCATGTGTTCCCACTGGATTGATAGGGGGTTCTGATGAAAGTTGTGAAGTGAGATAAGCCAGTGCTTCTCGTCTTTGTTTATCTGACTTTGAAGAAGAGGCGAGTGAGAGATTATGTTTGAATTGTTGAACGACATCAGGTGCGACTGTTGAGAGTGACTGATGTCCCATCACAATAGCTATGACCGTCAGTAAATTGATGGGAAACATGTACAGGTCTCCTCACCCTTTGACTTGAAACTCGTATCTGTAAAATTGGAAGCTTTCGGCTTATCCTTCCCCACCTTGAACTTCGGTTTCTACGTCGTCTTGGTGAGTCCACACTCCATCATGTCAGTGGTGATTAAAATCCTACCTGGAAGTCCTTTTGCTTCTCGCGCTTCTTCTTGTTGCTGGAACCCATGATGTCGGTTTATCGTGATCACTAGAACAGATGTATAAAGGACAAAAAAGTTCGAATACCGCGCAATATCAAATCAATACCGAGATATTCTTTGTTATACTGAGATTTGGATTCTTTGATCTTCAACTGATAAGATCTACTTTCCCTGTTGGGTTTCTAAAATTTTGGCGGTGTCGGATGGCAGAACCTCCATCCTGCCCCGCGGCGTCACCTTAATGCAAGGTCCAACCACGCCAGGCCAAAACATTGCGACAACCAGCGGTATCAAGCATCACCATATCAAGCTCTCAGAATGGCTGAATCCTCACTGGTATCTTGTGGAAAGGATCTTGAGATATTTTGTGAGGCTAATAAAAGGACAGACAAACGGCCACGATGCCCTTGAGGAGAAGCTCGGTCGATTGTCAAAGAAACCTGGTGTTAAAGCCAGCATCGTTCTTGACCGAGCCACGGGCGCTATCCTGAAAACCAGCGGACAAGTCGACGCTCTCCAGACTTCCAAGACTCGAACCACATCGACTGCAACATCGTTTTCTAACGAAGCTCCTGCACTAGAGGAGAGCAAAACGAAAGGAGTCGAGCAATTCGCCGCGATCGTCTGGAACTATGTGAATAGCTCCGGAAGCTTGGTCCAGGAGCTGGATGGTGAAGTGAGGATCATCACAGGCGTTACAGGCTCATAGCTAACACACAGTAGGATGAGCTGAAGCTTCTACGGTTACGAACAAGGAAGCAAGAATTGGTCATTGTACCCGATCCCAAGTATTTACTTGTGGTTGTGCATGACACACCTCCAGCTTGAGCTACGAAACATGCTTATTTAAGTCTTACCAATGCCTCGGCGTCCCAGATCTCCCACTTACCGACTTCCACTGAAGGACTAGGGGAGCGGTTTGCCTTGATTCAAGAAAGATGTTCTGTTTCATGGACTGATCAACTGGGAGCGTGACGGGCCGTGGAATCGACAAGATGCAAGGATCATTACTGGCGTGTCGCATTCGGGATGGTCTTGAGTAAGGCAAGAGATCGTGAACGAAATTACGATTGATACACATGGGCTGGAGGAAGTGCAGGCATCTGCCGTGCCTCGAGGGAAGAAAGAAGAAAGAAACATACCAACATGGGTAAAATGGGCTGGAGTCTGCGCCCTCGCGGCTATCCCGTTACCCGATTTCCTTTTACTGTGCTTCCCGTCACTACGGGACTATCATGGGGTCCGCGCGATGCCAGTGTCCGGCATAAACAATTGGGACGGGAAGGGCAAATATATCCGCAGCTGTAAGTAGCCGCGTGTTTCGAAGGTTTAATGGGCCGAACAATTTACAGCTGGATTGCGCCCCTTGTTTCACAAGGGCCCCATTGACGACGAAATTGGTGGTGGTCGGAGTGGAAACGCTAGGAGCCGTTGGAAAAGAGCACGGAAAGGCCTCATGGTGGTCATGACAGTTGAGGATCACACATAGATATCGGCTACCAACACAATTGAGCAGCAATTCCGGCCCAAACTTGTAACGGACAAAGTTGCGAATGTGAGCTTCTTCTGCTTGGTCAGTAACAAACAAGGTTCACGACGGGGCAGCGCAGGAAAAACGGAACGCACGTACAAAATACATGCGCACGTCCTTATCCTTGGCCAGTATCCGTATGCGGATAACGAAAACGCTCAACGTTCAGGGTTACTCTGACTTGGAAGAAGGTTGTAAGGACTGCAGGGCTGATACATGATCAAAGGCAAACACGTCAAGCATCGATCATATGTCTGATCCCAAGTCCCAGGTCTCAGATAATCAGAACTAATGTTGATGACCGAGCGCGATACTGATCTAAAGTTCCGATATGATTTGTACTATTTTCGGCAAGATGACATTCCGAAGCTAACGAGGGCTTCCAACTTGACCGTTTATTCACCTTGAAAGGCTTATTTACACCTTGTCTCGTCTTGTGACTCTTGCTTTACCATGCCTTTGCCGAAGCGGCAAATTCTCCCTGGCTCGCTTCTCGCAACGGCGGTTTCGAAACACGTCGTCTTACTCCCTCCACTTTTATACATTGGCTTCCGCCAGAGAGGCCCACAAACTCCCGCAACTTCCAGCATCAGGATTCTCAAGTTTGAGGCTAAAAAGGCCTCCCTCCGGATGACAGGAAATGATCCCTGGCTACGTACAGTACTACCACTTTGCGATAACATCGACCATAGCAATTCGTATATACCTACCTTGTTACATAATGAACTCTATAGTCGGGTCTTGACGCACATCACTAGGGTTTGGCATCACTTTCTTACCATGTTTCCCATGTAACACACACTAGTGAGTCTAATTTGATGTTTGCCAACATTCGTACGGCAGAAGAACTCTGGCATGATTGATAGATTGCGTCCACCTTCTCTTGCAAGGATCAATGCTTGCACACGTATGCCGGGGGCCTTTGAAACTTCTATTCTGATCATTGGGTATTCCGCACTCCGCTGCGCTGTAAGACTGGAGCGTACCGTACAGTATGTATATAGACCAGGTCCTGGGCGTTATGCCGGCTTCCATATTGGATTCGGACCTGTATCTACTCACATCGATTCGCATCGCAGATCTTCCGTTTTACCCATATTACCCAGGTGCAACTATCCACGATCGTCCAGGTTAGTTCCAGGTCCACGCTTCGAAGGCCTCCGGGATATCCACGCGTGGGGACAGCTGCATGTTGCACAAACAAGAAAAGAAGCGGACACAAGAGAGACTCGAGAGAGAGGGGATTATATCCGCTGCATGGGATTGTGCACCAATGACCTGAGACAGCCGTTGAGCTCCTGGAAAGGGAAAGCATTGTGTGCTTAGCATATTCATACGTACGTACGTGGATCAACCAACAAAGACCTATATTTGTATAGCAATACGGATGCAATGACAGCAATGGCTCCATTCTGTTCTCCGCCGAGTCAGCTTTTTGAATCTCGAGTCCCCTTTCGTATTCTAATACAAATGCCTGAGGAGTTATTGAATGCTGGATGTTCTGGTGCCAGTTCAAACCGCAGCCCAACAACTCACGCAACGCAGATGAGGAGCACCTAACTGACGGCGGTAGTAGTTAGGGAAACCCATCAAACAAGAAGCTGCTGCTTTATAGCCTGTCTCCTTTATCCGGAGTGGGCTTGATGGTGCTTGTGTCCAGGTCGGCCTGCCCACGATCAACAAGATCAATCTGATCCTTCGGCGGCGGATGCCCGCAGTGCGTCGATACTAACAGTTGTTGCATGGAAGACCTTTGATCCATCGCATCAAGATTGCAGTATGCCATTGAGCAAACCAAGGCCGTCTCCACGGCCATCTGCTACGAGCAGTTTCAGCGACAACACCAACAAGTCAGACAAATCAGGGTCAAAATTGACTGACGAGAATAAGAATGCACCATCGCAAAAGCGACATGAACGGCAAAAGTCCCGGGCACTACTACTACCCCAGAGCGGCGCCACATCAACTGCAACTACAGCCACCACCAGCATAATACCGACCAAATCTGCAATTGCTGATGGACATGTTCAAAACGAAAACGATGAGGGCGATCTCATTGACGATTCTGGCGCCATTGGTGCATCTGCATCAACCGGGGGTCGTTTTACAAGGCCAGACTATCTACTTCATGGTTTACTTGCACGAGCTAGGAACCGTGTAAAAGATCGAACTGGGCGAGACAAGGAGAAGGGCAATGGAGATGTAAGTCAAGATTTTGATAAGTTATTTACTGGAATTATTCCTGATGAGACACCCACCATCTCCATCATAACTGCAAGTCATCCCTGATCAAATAAGAGACAATGGAAGATCAGACCACTGCTCAGCCCAGCTTAGGCCAGCCAACCACTGTCGCGTGCTAGGGCGATCTTCGCTCTCAGGTCATGCGATTGCCATTCAGGGCCCTGAATTGGGCCCCTCAATGGGCTCAATTCGGGGGCGCCTTTGACCGATGGTATTATCCGGCCTTCGAGATGTCATGATGGTCCAATGTCAGTCAGTCATGTCAATTGACTCGGGGACTTTTTTCTCTTGTCGTTCTTTTTTCTTTCTAGCACTATATTTTAGTTCTTGTGACCCTGTCTCTTCCTCAATTACTTCCCTTCCCCTCACATCTATCACTGTACTTCTGTCTCAGAACTAATTACTCCCTTTGCTGCAAACAGACAACATCAACTGTTACAAGCCCAACCAAAGCCTTCTCTTCCTCCCCGCATTCTCCTCCGCCACGCGCCGCTCCTCCCGACCGAGGCTTCCGTCGTAAAGCCCCACCTCGAGCTTCTACAGGCAGATCTCAAGGGACTAAGACGCCTTCATCGTCACAGTCGCCGTCACACTCACCACGGGCTCTCACTTCCCCGCGTTCACCACCAGATCAGAACAAGCCTCTCCCTCCTCCACCTCCTCTACCGAACTCGGGTGCCTTGTCCGGCAAGGAAAATGCCCCTTCTCGTCCGCCCAATCCCGTCTTGAAGCTGAATAGAATCATGTCTACTCTTACCGACTCAGAGATCGAGAAGCTCTTCTCTGGAGCCCCTCAGTATTTTGCCCGTAGCGAGGGGCATTGTTCTGGCGCCCCCAATCCCAGCGTCGCATTTCCCTTTGATGAAGCATTGGAGATTCGCGACCTCACTGATCATGTCCAAATTGAAGATAGAGCTTGGAGTGGTCTTACAGCATGGCCTCATCTAACTCGAGATCTCAATCAGGATGCCGCTGCCCGGGCACAGGCTGTCGACTCTCGCAAGGCCCATTTCTTCATCCGTTGTCGGGAACGTCCCAACATGTTGAGCATGCAAGGTCTAGAGAAGGGTACCATGGGCTTCTCAGCTGCCCTCGAGCTCGCCGTTGGTGACGCCCTCGAAGAAGAGCAATTCGGCTTTGACAACGTTGGTAAAAAGGCCCATGCCATTGTTGAGGCACGTGAGCGCATGCTTTCCTCTCTGGGTTACCTGCGTCGTCTCCCTGAGACAGAGCTGTTGGACCGTCTCAAGCGAAACGCCGAGCTATACCGGGTCAATGATCTTCGAAAGAAAACCTCAGTCCAGACTTATCAGGATCTCTTTCACACTTTTATGCGGCCATGCAATTCCGTTGTCGATAAGCGCGACCACTATAGCTTGACCAACCAGATTAATGTCTTGATCAAGTGTCTTGGCACCGCCAATGTTTGGTTTGACTTCACCCATGTCGAATGGAGGATCAGATTGGGTCAGATTCTTTGGGGAGGTGAAGACAATGATGAACTTGAGGATACTTCTTCCATCCACGACGCTAGTAGTGCCAGCGAACGGGCTGAGGAGAAGTATTGGCTTCTCATGCAGATTCTTGTTGCTACGGAACTCCTCATTCGATTAGATGCAATCACCGAGGGCGAAGAATATGGTGTCGAAGCTTTCCGACCTGTAGATGTTGTTCACTTCGAAAGAGCCGCCACTCCCATGGTTAAGTGGTCGCTTCATCTTGCCCGGAGCTGGCTCGACAATATCGAGATTGAGAAAATCAAAGAAGATCCACCAAGCGACTCCTCCGAGACAAAGGGAGCAGTTATTCCTCCGCCGGCGACGGGCTGGCTAGGCGCCCTCTTTAGTAAATTTATTGTCCGTCAACATCACGAAGACAAAACGACAGCCAGCCATACGTATACTATTAAAGGTCGCAACCCACAACAGCAGGTAGATGGGCTTACCCATTTTGCGAAAAAGCTACTCTGGCCCAACATCGACACATACGAGGGACTTATCGCGAACAACGCTCGTCAATCGATTATCAACTCTGTGCCTAAGCCTGCCTCTACGAATGCATCTGAGAAATCAGCAAAGCCTTCTGAGACGAATGGATCTAAGCGGGGACTTTACTTTGGTGGCTGGGATCGACCTGGTAGTCAGAAGGATAAGACTCGACCACAGCGGCGAAAGCTTGCAGCGGCGCTTCATCCTTCTGGATGGCTTTCAAAATCATATATCTATGGTCTAGTCCTCCCTGGAGATGGCATGTGCCATTTCCTGATGGCCACGCTTCTCGAAAATGATAGCAAAGCCATGGAGCGTTTGGGCTCGTTCGCTAATTTGTGTGGAGGGTTCGTCTATTCTGGCAAGAGTTTTTGGAGCACATCATGTATCGTGGGCCGAGTTATTGCAGCAGGTCAGGGATCGGCTGAGTGTATGGGATGGGTTTCCAGCGACATTCTGCCCCTGGGCATAGATGAGGGTTGGGTCAACATTGAAGTGGAAGAAGTGGCTGGTAAGTTGCCATACATTGGACGAGAAGAGCATTACGCTAACGGACAGCAGAGGACAAGGCACACTTGGGCAAGAAAGCAAGACTTTGGGCAAAGAAGCGAATTGAACGAGAATCATCCATCCTCGGGGATGCCGACGAATATTCTGTGTTCCCTGCCGACTTTATCATTCCCCATGAAAATAGCTACTCTACGCCACCGCCGTTGATCAGCGTTACTTTACGGTCGCTTGAGCTTCTTTCTCCGGCCAACTCAATCCAGTCCACGCCTTTCACTAAGCTGACCCCCCCTGCGAGTGCGAGCAACAAGGAACCTGAGCTGTTGTCATTCCCAGCCAATGTCAACTTTGCCGTGTCGATTGACGGATTCACAGCTGAGAACTTCTCATTCTCCTTGTCCTACGATATTAACTTTGTTACGGCACACCCATGCTCGCCGTCTCATCGCGTCCGATTTGTTAAGTCTCCATCAAGTCCGACAATTCAACAGATCGATGTGTCTGGGTCTGACACATTTGGGCAAGGTTCTCGACCTGCTCACAGAACAGGTAGGATCAAATGGTTTCTGGTCCATGTCTCGCAGCTAACTCTGGTCAGGTCATCCCTTACACAAATATTATAATTACACTGTTATTCATATTTCGGAGCTTCTAAAGCGGCAGCATGCTCCCCTTTCGGAGCTTCTGGCTGTTCCTCAAACTCACCGGCGCTCACCTTCGCGCATGGGTAGCGAACGAGTCCTTGTTATTGACTGTATCACCAACTTGTCCGAGGTTCCTCAGTCTCCTACGATTGAGAGGCTCACCTCGAAGTATAACATTGTTCAGCGAAGAGGTAGTTTCCCTGCCGCGGAACAGATGCATTTCGAGTCCAGAAAACGACAGTTTGGCTCCGACATGGAAATTCTGGTTCGTGCTCTTTGCGCTCAAAAGGGCTGGAATGCCATAATCAGTCGACGAAAGCGAGGATGCCTGGCTTGTGCTATTCGTGAAGCTGGCGCATTGCAGTGGAAGGTTATCATTAGGGTGGAGTAGGAAAAGCTCGCCTATGTTGTAGAGCGTATGATTTGGCGTTTATATCGTGGGAGTATGCTGTGTTTGTGAAACGGGTATATACAAGGTTAAGTTATTGTCTTGGGTTGGGTTGTCATGATATATGTCTAGGTACGCTGTGGATTGACTTGGGAGGATAACCGTTATGTTTATATACACGGAAGAGATGTCTGAATTCATCATTCTAATTCGTACGCCTGAGTAAATTATAGTGAGGATATTTGTGTTCTATTACTAATGGCTGGTCTTCGATAGTCGATGCTGAATGAAATGATGTGCCTGTTGGTATAAGAAGCTAGTTCCTATTTAGGTAGGTCTATCATACGCCACGCTACCCCACTCGAGAAAGCGCCACAACTTAAGCCTCCCCCCAGACGACAGGTCGCGCGAGCTAAGAGGTAATTGCGACAACCATTGAACAACCGTCGCTTCACCTCATTCACAGCAGCAAATATGTCGCCTACCAAGGACCCCAGAAGAGTCGACCTGAGTAAGTCTAGCCATTTGCCTTTGAGTATCAGTCAAGCGCCTTGCGCGTGAAGCACAATTCGATCATCATGATTGCGACCAGGAGCTAACTGCGTGACAGTCGTCCCTTACCAAGAGCCGAAGGGCTCAGGTGATTCGACCGATCTCTCCTCGACGATGTCTACTACCCTGCCAATGGCCGCCATGTTCACGCGCAACAAGATGGTTGGATGGTACGTTTGCCGACTGAGCCTTGAGAAGGCGGAGATGTGGCGCGATGCGATGCGATTCGAAGCGACATATGATATGCGGCCGGGTTGCTAACGAGACTTGATAATAGGGCGTCTGTTGTTTTCTCTATCCAGAGCTGGCTCGGTGAGAGCGAGGACTCGAAGAAGAACTCCACCACTCCTGGATACTTCTCCGTCGGCATGTCCAGTAAGACCCCCCGTGTATTATTCGAGAATAAAGAATACATGCTAACAAAGTGCAGTCATGGCTCTTGCTGTTACTTACCTCCCTATGTTCCTCCCACCCGTCGGCGGTAAGCAGGCTTCTGGCACCGAGGCCCCTGCTCCTGTTCCTCTGGCATAGTAAGCAAAGAGGTCAGATTGTATATAAGGGGAGACTTTGTGGAACAGGGGTTTTGAGGAGAAACCCACCTATAATTATTGCTGAGCGTTATCATTTTCAAGGTTCCAAACTGCACCATACTCTGGGCGGGGATTGATGGACAGGATATCTGTTTTATGAGTTCTTGTAAGAATGAACGAGCTTTCAAGTCTAAAGAGTTCTGCATCCTTCATTCCATCCTCAAAGCTGTAGCGAACCAAGCCTGGTTCTAGTCGGCATTTACGTGATTGTCGGTAATGCTGTACAGGACCAAAAGGGCGCGTACTAGCCTTTCTGTTAAAAGCGCAATTATTAACACATAGGCTGTTTTAAGTCAACGGTTTGCTTTCTTGTCTATAGCCTCAAGGCCTTTCTTTCACAGATTTCGAGCCATTGACTTTAATAAGTCTCAGTTGAACAAGCCGTGAATAAATAGTTGGACAATCACCTCACAGAAGTGGAAATTTGCACACATTAATAGATTAAACGCAAGCTATTAAAAGCATCTAGCAAGGATTATGATTGTAATACAGACTGAGATTCTATGAGAATGAAATTTCAGACCGTAAGGTGTCTTGATGGTCAAGAATGGCTCATCATTGGTGGATGTCGCTGATGACTTTAAAGATTTGAGATCTGACTTGCATAAAATGCATAAGATTGTTCATGAACAGGGACCTGCAGTACCGCGGGGCTACCTGCTTCACAGTGCTTTACGCGGGCCACGTATAGAGGGGTTGTAGGCTAGTGACATAAATATTAGAGAAAGCATTCACCAAAGCTTGGACTGTTGAAGCATCATTATTATGACACCCTCAGCCCGTTGCTGGGGCAATTCATTATGTCATTTTTGGACGATAAACGATACACTCATGCAAAGTCCCTTGTACTCAACGGCTTCACCAAACTGCACATACCCTCACGACGGCACTCACCGCCCGGCTTATGAATGAAGTACCCTGACGACCTTTCAAATCGGTCGCCTAATAAACATATCAATAAACCAAAGCCTGGTGGCCGTTTTGCATTTAAGCCACAAACCACCCTCTCATCAAAACAACAACCTGACTTCTCCAAACTTGCCCCACGCCAAAGGCATTCCAAGACACGTCTCAGCGATTCTACTGCTCTTCGAGACCTCGGCGCCATGGTTAACGAACGGGCGCCTCCCAAGGTGCCTCTAAACTCCATCACTCCAAATGGAGAGAATACATCCCGCGAGTTGTCTCCCGACGATGATATCACCGCCCTTGTTCGTGGTATGAGCTCGCTCAAAGGCAAAGTTCGAGGAGATATGAATGACCCCTTTAATCCCGCCGGCGCAACCAATACGCCCACATTCGGCCATCCTACCAAGATGATGTCCTCTCGTAAGCAGAGAGCAGACCCTTTCATACGGCAGAAGACACGACCGGAACACCACCTCGATAGTCAAAGCAGCAACAGCGGTGCTAGGGTCACGGGCCCTCGAGGTCCGGTATACCAGGATCGAAGACCACCACCAATGCCCATGTTCAGCTCAGGTGCACCCTCTGCACCACCAGTTGCATACTCATATGCGCCCCAGAGACAATACGGCGAGGAGACTTTCTACACAGATCCTGCCAAGGCGAGCGCCGATTTGAAGGCCTTGCTTGAGGGTGGCATGGAGGAGGGCGAAGAAGAGGGTGGAGAACAGAGCCAAGCTGATGGTGAGAAGAAATCAGAAGATCCAAAAGACCCCAAAGACGGCACAGTGGACGGCCTCAAGGTCAAGTTACTACCTCACCAGGTCGAAGGTGTTGAGTGGATGCGAGGACGAGAACTTGGCCCTGTAAAGCGAGGAAAGGTTCCCAAAGGAGGCATTCTCGCCGACGACATGGGTCTTGGAAAGACTCTCCAAACCATCTCACTCATTCTCACCAACCAGAAACCAGCTAAGGACGCCCCTGGATGGAAGAAACACTTTGAGAAGATCGAAAAGACAACCCTGGTGGTGGCACCACTTGCTTTGATTCGACAATGGGAACACGAAATTAATGACAAAGTGGAAAAGACCCATGGTCTCAAAGTCTGCGTACATCATGGACCAAATCGCACGAAGCGATTTAAGGAGCTCGCTCTCTACGATGTTGTCATCACAACCTATCAAATCCTTGTTTCTGAACATGGAAACTCCTCAGATGCCGAGAATGGGTTGAAAGCAGGATGCTTTGGTTTGCACTGGTGGCGAGTCGTTCTCGATGAGGCCCATACAGTCAAGAATCGCAACGCAAAGGCTACCAAGGCTTGTTACGCCCTAAACTCTGAATACCGATGGTGCTTGTCTGGTACACCTATGCAGAACAACCTGGATGAACTCCAGTCCCTCGTCAAGTTTCTCCGCATTCGACCCTACGACGACCTCAAGGAGTGGAAAGAGCATATTGATCTACCCCTGAAGAATGGCCGCGGTCACATCGCCATTCGCAGACTACACAGTCTTCTCCGATGCTTTATGAAGCGAAGAACTAAAGAAATCCTCAAGGAAGCTGGTGCGCTTAACCCTGGTGGTAAGCCTTCCGCCGAGGGCGAGGGGTCCTCGACAGGCTTCAAGGTCACCGAACGAAAGGTCGTTACTGTGTCGACTGCATTATCACCTGCAGAGCGCAAGTTCTATGATCGATTAGCTGCTCGAGCAGACCGAAGTATCGAGCAGATGATGCAAGGCAGAGTCAACTATGCCAACGCTTTGACTCTGCTACTCCGCCTACGACAGGCTTGTAATCATCCAAAGCTGGTCGAGGGCAAGCTGGAGAAGGACAAAGACGCAATGTCGACAGACGCTACCCAGAAGACCCAGGATACAGATATTGATGTCATGGCCGACATGTTCGCCGGCATGGGCATCGTTTCTAAGGACTGCAATATTTGTGGGCGAGCCTTGAGTCCTGAAGACAACAAGTCAGGCAAGGACATCTGCTCCGACTGCCACGATGACCTAGCATACTTTAACAACCATGAAAGGCCAGAGCGGTCAGAACGGCCCAAGAAGTCCAAGAAGTCCGAGGATAAGAGCAAGAAGAAAGACAAGAAGGAGATAATCGACGAAAAGGTCATTGACAGACAGATTGTTGAGATAAACGACAATGAAGATGACGACGAGTCCCATAAGAAGGCCTCAAGGCGACCTCGCCACCGAAACGCGGTGGTTGACAGCGATGACGAGGACGCAGAGTCGCCAAAGAAGACAGCTCGTCAGCCCCGGAATCGCAACGCCATCGTTGACAGTGATGATGGGGAAGAAGAGGGCGAAGGCTCATGGCTTGTTCCCGAGGATCAGCAGGGCTCCATACATCTAGGAAAGGCTGGTGGCGAAGAAGATGAGAATGCTGAGGGCGGCGGCGACTGGATTGGCTCCGATGACTCTGAAGACGAAGAGAGTAAGGTTGAAGACAAGAGCAACTTGAGCAGCTTTATTGAGAACGACGAAAGCAAAGCAGGCGTGGCTTCTGGCTCTGATGACTCCTTGGCATCATTGACAGATATCACAAAGCGCATGGCTGCCCAGACACTGGACGATGGGCCATCTCATGCAGCTGACACCACAAATGCAGGCACAGATGCCGATACTACAGCTGCCGATACCACGGCTGCTGATACGACAGCTGTCTCTGGATCATCAGCTTCAGATTCGGAATCAGACTCTGGCTCTGATTCTGACTCTGATGAATCAGATGTCTCGTCTGAAGAAGACGACAGCATTTTCTATCCATCCCGCGATCCCAACTCCCCTCAAGTTCTTGCTTCTTCCAAGATTCGAGAGCTCATCAAGATTCTCCAGGGTGAAGTCAAAGAACACAAGTTCATCGTCTTCTCTCAGTTCACTTCTATGCTTGATCTCGTTGAGCCCTTCTTCCGCAAGGAACGATTCCGCTTTGTCCGTTACGATGGCAGCATGAAGAACGATGAGCGTGAGGAGAGCCTACGAAAGTTGAGGAGCGATCCTGAGACACGCATCCTGCTGTGTAGTTTGAAGTGCGGTAGTTTAGGACTCAACCTCACGGCAGCGACCCGAGTTGTCATCCTCGAGCCCTTCTGGAACCCAGTATGTTCAACTATCCTTGATCCCCTTAACAGATTACGATGCTAACATGTTTGCTAGTTTGTCGAAGAACAGGCCATTGATCGTGTTCACCGTCTGACCCAGACTGTCGATGTAATTATCTACAAGCTCACTGTCGCTCAGACTGTCGAGGAGCGTATCCTCGAGCTGCAGGAGAAGAAGCGCGAGCTCGCTGAGCAAGCCATCGAGGGTGGCATGCGTAAGGAAGCTCTCAAGCTCGGTATCAATGAGATCATCAACCTCTTCAAACCAGGCTCCTCGGAGAACCCAGTTGTTATCGGCGCTGATCCCTCCGCCGTTGGCAACGAGAGCTTCAATGGCAACGAGCGTAGATCTGCGGCTTCATCACAGAGACGGCCAGGACGACCTAGAAAGGAAGAGAGTGCAGTGTATGGTCGACGATGGTGAAGCAATTGCATGCTGTAGATATTAACGATAAGATGGTCATGGTTGGGAAAGGTGTTCAAGAAGGTTCAGGATTTATGACATGGCGCAATGAATTATTCTTATTTTGGCATTAATGATATTGTTCGTTTTACTCGCATGTCCTGACTAGATAATAGATCGGACAATATAATCTACCTTTTTTAATTATCTGTCCTGCTCATAGCTCATGAGAATTATGTTTATCCTGTGCCGTATTGCACTCCAGCCAAGACATACATGACCTGGCCTGACACCCTTGCAATGTGTCTTCAATCTTCCCATCTCTTCTGGATCTCTATGGTCCTTATCTACATGTTTGTGAGTATATTGCCAAGACCCTTGAGCTTCCTCAAGGGAGCTCCATAGCCCAGCTCCACAACACCGTGTGTGAACTTCCAGCTATCGGGCTGGCTCTTGATAGGGTACTGAACGGGAGGAGGGATACCAGTGCGGATGCCCAGCCAGCCGAAGC